ATGGTTTATATTTCATATTCATTTACATTAAAAGTAAACACTACCACATGTTTCTCAGAATAGTAACTTTCTGAGTGAACCAGTGTATTTTAAAGATATCCTTTGAAAAGCTGTCCTTCTAAAGAATACACAATCATTTATGCTCCTGTTAGAAGACAGACAAGTAGTTATAGCTAATGTTCTTTGAGTGTTTAGTATGTTTTAAGCCCCATGTAAGCACTTCACATATTTTACTTCAGTTAACCCTTAAACAACCCTGTGAGGTGGATACTACTGTTTGTTTCTTTTAATAGATAAAGAGGTAGGTACAGAGAGAATAAATAAACTGCCTAATTAATAAGAGGGTGATCCAGAATTTCAATCTAGAAAGTTTAATTCCAGAGCTCTGGCTCTTAACCACTTTTGAGCAAGATTTTGGAGGTATCCGGACCATGTACAGATTCTTACTTTTTTTTCTGTGGCTTTGTCCCTCTGATTTCTCTAAACCCCAGCTTCCTCATCTCTGAAATAAGCAGTATAAAATATGCAGATATTTTATACTGCTTACTTCTTTGCATGCAAGGGTCACATATAAACAAATTTTTGGTTCAGTAGTATTCTGTTCAGTTAATTTCAAGTCCCCTAAGATAATGTCTTTTAACTCTCTTAGGTGTATGGAGATATCGAGTATTGCAGCATTATTAAGAATAAAGTCACTGGAGAAAGTAAAGGTTTGGGCTACGTACGATACTTAAAACCATCACAAGCTGCCCAAGCAATAGAAAACTGTGATCGAAGTAAGGATGTGTTTGTTTAACATTCTTAAAAACTTCTGTAAAAAATTCTGATTATTCTAAATAACTGAATTTAATACTGGTTTTTGCTAATAACCAGATCTGGTAATGTAATTTTAGTAGTAGGTGTTTGAATCCATGCAGTCCAAGGATGAAAAATACCTTGGGGCTATGATTAAACATTCATTGAGGCACTACCTTGAAATAAGAGCAACTACTTTAAGTTAGTGAAATGCATACTTTGGTTATTATTTGCAGAGGATTTGGGTTTTTTTTTATGTATTTTAGAATTTTAAGTATTGAAAATTGACTTACCTTTTCAGGGTTTTAAAAATATTCTTTATATTTGTTTATATTTGATCTACACCCCAAAGAGTATACAGTATAACTAATAAACATATAGGTTAAAAATAAGATTTATAAGATGTGCTAACATAAGTAATTAATATAGCTAGGGTTAATTTCAAGCTAGTGTGACATGAATTTGATCTTCTGATGTTGCTGTATATATAAAGCATAAGAATTTTAAAGAAGTCATGGAGAACATTCTTTCTTGGTATACTTCTAGTTAGGTATATTGACCTTTAGAAATTAGATGTGAAATAATTAAATTAGAGGATGTTAGGACATTATAAAAATCTATGTGTACTGGAAAGAATTACTGTTAATCAATAGAATTCTTAGATACCCCTAAGGTACATACCAAAATTTTCTCTTAGATCCTTCTAAATTCTCATTTAGCTAGCACTAATTGAGTACCTGTGGTATACTCATCAATATGCTAAGTGGAGGGATACAGATGAAGTATATGGCAGTCCTAGCATTTAAGGAATTTATAGCTATATTGAGTAGCCAAGATCTAATAGGCAAAAAAAAAAAAAATAAGGAATAATGGAAGAACTTTTTTTTGAAGGCTCTTTGAAAGCAAGAAGTATGTCTTTTTTGTCTGTCACTCCAAGTATCTAGTACAATATTAGGCCCTCAATAAAGATTTATTAAGCTCTCTATAAAAGTAACTGCCATTTGTAGTAGACTCAATAAGAATTTGCCAAATGAAAAAATGTTTGTAAGTATATGGTAGAGTCTATCAATGGTGAAAAACAAATGTGCTGGATGAGCATGGGAACACATGCGGAGAGGGTAGGACTTATGTCTGGTGTTGAGTAGGCAGGACAGAAGATGACAGCAGTGCTAGCAGAGGCACAAAACCAGGAGTAAACATGTCTTGCTTAGTGCCGTGAAGGCAGCTGTCTGAGTAAAGCACAGTATTTCTGTTGAGACATTTTGAGACACAGTTAACTAGGTACGTTGGAACCATATATGGGAGGTTAAGGAAAGTTCAAGGTTGGTCCACTTTAGGATTCTTTTGTAGATTGTTTAGAATGATTAAAGAAAGAACAGTTTAACCACACAGATTTCCAGAGAAGAATTCAAACTGACTGACTTTATCCTTTTTTAAGCCACCGAATAATGTGAAGAAAACTGAACCCTCCATGTACACATAAATGCACAGTAAGCATTTTGTTTAAAGTTTCAGAGGGTTCCTGGAATCTTCCCACCTTTTGAAGCTCATCCTTGGGCACCTAGTTAAGAACCCTTGATCCAGAAGGTAAAAAACAGTTAAAGGACTGTTTTAATTAATTGAAGAGAATCTAGATTAAAAACAGAGGCAGGGAAGTTAGAGTGGAAGATAGCATATTCCGAGTGTGTGCATTTTAAAGGAAGAATCTTGGTGACAGGTTAAATATGAAGAAGCCCTGCAGGATTTTGATGTTGAGGAATTTAGGCAAATGAATGATGCTGTTATCTGTAATGGGGGAGACTGGAAGGGATAGCATAGGATTGTTGATCTTTCATGTCTACATTGATCCATAATTTGGGATACTTGCTATTTCTCATTTACTCTTTACTGTCTTCCAGAAAGCAAAGAAGTAGGTCTGGTGGAGATGGCCATTGTATATGTTTTACTTTGTACAATTATATTTATAAACCTGAGTCAGGCACTAGCAATCAAATATATTTGCAGGTATGTTAAGTTTGCTATGAAACTTGAAATTCATGGATTTCTTTCAGGTTTTAGAGCAATCTTGGCTGAACCTAAAAATAAAGCCTCTGAATCCTCTGAACAAGATTATTATAGTAATATGAGGCAAGAGGCTTTGGGACATGAACCTAGAGTAAATATGTTTCCATTTGGTAAGTAGGCTACCTTTACTTTAATAGTATAATGTAGTATATGCCATCTAATTTGGGTTTTAAAAAATACTCTGTTATTAGTCATCTAATAACACCTAGTGAATGAATATCTTATTCACTAAATTTCACCTAGTGAATAAATATCTTAAATGTAGCTCTTTATTTCTAAAAAGTGGCTTATAACTCCTAAGGTTCTTAATATTTAACACTTATTTTGTTTAACTGATTTCTAATTATAGTTTTCTCTGATTAGTTACTCATTCTCATATTATAAACTATTGCCACTGCCACATATCACTGTCACTTTTTAGGGTGAGCTTCTGCCTCTATGCAGCTGACCAAAAACTTAAAAAGACACATATAGGGGGCCGGGCGCGATGGCTCAAGCCTGTAATCCCAGCACTTTGGGAGGCCGAGGTGGGTGGATCATGAGGTCAAGAGATCGAGACTATCCTGGTCAACATGGTGAAACCCTGTCTCTACTAAAAAATACAAAAAGTTAGCTGGGCATGGTGGCACGTGCCTGTAATCCCGGCTACTCGGGAGGCTGAGGCAGGAGAATTGCCTGAACCCAGGAGGTGGAGGTTGCAGTGAGCCGAGATCGTGCCATTGCACTCCAGCCTGGGTAACAAGAGTGAAACTCCGTCTCAAAAAAAAAAAGACATATATAGATATCCTCTCAGTATGAGTCCTAAAAATTTGTCCCAGAACTACTGCTGCTTTAAAATTAGGGCTACAGAAAGGAGAGGAATGGCAAAAGTAGAAGAAGCTATAATAGAAAAAGGGAAAATGGGTGATGAAAGTGAGGCCTATGAATGTTAGTTGACATAAACTTTCAAGTAAAATTCTTGCTGTATTTTTCAGTTTTGCATACTAAACTTATTTCTGTGAAATTAGACTATGCATTTCTGCTTATATTTCTTCATTAAAGGTAGGGCAAGGGGGAAGAGTTGTTTGTTTTCTTGTCATTAGTCCCATCGGTAGTGCTGATGACCAGAAGCATACTACAAAATACAGGGCCTTTATTCAGTACAAAGGACTCTTTGTTTTCTAGTATTTAAGATGTTAAGTGAATTGTTGGCTATGTAGAAATCTAAAGATTTACTTTTTTTTATATTGTTGGAGAACAATCTGAATTTTCAAGTGTTGACAAGAATGACAGCCGAGGCCAGGAAGCAATCTCCAAACGCTTGTCAGTTGTATCAAGAGTTCCTTTCACTGAAGAACAGCTTTTCAGCATTTTTGATATAATACCAGGATTGGGATATTGTGAAGTTCAACGAGATCCTTATTCAAATTATGGTAAGATAATGTTCATATTAAAATATATACATACACAGAGTTTTGTTAAAATGGCTTTTCTCTAGTAGGACTTTTATGTCAGATACTGCTCGTGTGACAGGAATTTTATCTTTCCTTTTTCCCTACTTTAGACTTCAAATTATGGTGATACCTTAATAAACAAAGCCCTGGAACTTATCTCCTTTTTACAAAATAGTTCACTGTAAAATATATTTTAACTCTCACAAAATATAACATTCTGTATTTCCAGTTGCACACCAAAAAAAATCCTCAGGATAGAGCCTCTGTCTCGATGTACTCTTTTGGTTAATGCTAGGCAAAGTTATGAAACTCACAGTGTTTTCTCCTCATTCATCCCTAGATCTCTTTCTCTTAAATTTGTACCCCTCATTCTCTTCATTCCAAGTATCTGAATGCCCTCCTTCTCTCTCTGCTTCTTCCAATTTCAGTGGAAGCAAGACTCACATATCAGCCATTTGAACTTATTAGTTAATTGATTAAACCCATTATCTAACATTAGCCAACCCATCTTGGTGTTTTAAGCTTTTGATTTTATTAAGGCTCTTTGTTAATGGAGGCATTGTGGCCTAATGGAAAAGTTTGGCTTTCCATTTTGCATCAGAATCGGGTACAAATCCCAGCAGTGGCATGTAGCTTTTAGGCCCTGGCAATTTGCTTATCCTCTCTGAGCCTCTCTTTCCTCATATGTAAAATGGGATCATTGATACCTTCTTTGCCAGGGTTAGGTAAGAATTAGAGGTAATATATGTGAAATACAAGTTCTGGCATGTAATAGGGCACTCAGTAAATCTAAAGATTTTTTTTTTCTTTCTTAGCGAAGGGTGGTAGAGAGAAATCATACTTGGTTGGCATCTCTTCCTGTTTTGTAAGGATACTTAATTTAGTCCTTTTAGAGTGACATGGCTGTTGATGTAGAAGTAGGAAAGTGAGTTTGGTCTTGTGGACCAACAGGACTAAGGTAACTCCACCCTTCATACAGACACACCTGGCACGTTTGTTATATGCATATGAAGTTGTGTTTGTTTCATTTTGATCCCTCGCTTTTATCTTGTATGTCGAAATGTATTTGTTCTTATACCTTCTGTTTTGTTTCTCTGGTTGGATGTGTCTGAAATATATGTGTCATTGGAACATCTTTTTATTAATAGAGGTGTCATCATATAGTGTGAATCCCATTTGAATTAACTTTATATGGTCATTTGGTTTCTGTGTTTTATTTCATTAAATATTTTATTAAAATATTGGATGCTTGAGTTTCAGATGAATATAAATTATAAGTGTTTCCCCAGTGGTTTGTATTATAAATGTGAAAACCTTTTGGTTGTGTCACAAGCTCCTGGGCTCTCTAAGGAATGCATTGTAACATTGTCCCTCCCTTTAACATCACCCTCCTAAATTGGAATTTGTCCCTTTGATGGAAATCTCTGCAAAGGAATGTAAAATATGTGACTTGTGATCTGAGATCATCTGCTCTCTCTTTGTTTTTCATTCAAATCACTTTTACTTTCCCTACTGCTGCAGATAGCCAGGATGAGTATATATTCTTTTCAACTATCACTTCTCATTTTGTTCACTACACAGTATGGTTGGAAAATCTTGATATTTCAGAGTAGATTTCAAAGAATAAAAGTTTAGACTCATAAGTATATTGGTATCATATAAGAAAGCCAGTACCCTAAAATTGAATTTATTAGACAGAATGTATGTTAATATTCCATTTTCCTTAAAATATCATGTTCATTTTTTTCCCTAAATCATTTCTTCCTCTTCTAGGAATATACCTATTGCACACATTTATATCAGAATTGTGTTTTCTGATACATTTGATTTTATATTTACTAGTTGTGTGATGTTAGAATTCTAAATGGTTTCATTTTTGAGATACATTGTAACATAGGCCTTAGGCACTCAATCTGCTTTCCTTTTTCATTTCTATGTATTTTCTATTTTAGGTCATGGAGTGGTTCAGTATTTTAATGTAGCATCAGCTATTTATGCAAAATACAAATTACATGGATTTCAGTACCCTCTTGGGAATCGAATAGGTGTTTCCTTCACTGATGATGGAAGTAATGCAACAGAGTAAGTACCATTCCAGGAGTGTCTAAAGCTGAGCTTTGAGTGTACATGATCGATAGGACTTGAAGAATAAAAATAGAAAACAGTTGACCTCTTAGGTGAGAAAGTCACACAAAACAAGTTACTGTTAAAAGACTGAATATTTCTAGTTTTCTGTAAATTATCAGTTATTGTCTCCAGTCTCCTTAGAAAAATGGCAACACAGATGGTAGCTGCACGGCTTGCATCAGTGGTGTGGAATAACCCAAGTCAGCAACAATTTATGGTAAGTAGGTAAGAATTTAATCTTTGTAATATATAAATAGTCTATCAAATAAATATGAATAAAAATCGTACTTTTTCGATTACCTGTATAAGGAAATTTTCAGAGCTGTAATGGAAGACCACATAGATGCCATGATACGTATCTGTCTTTAGCTCTTGGCCAAAAATCCCTAAAGGGCATTTTTTTCTTTTCTTGTTTTCTACCTGTTAACAGCAATTTGGAGGAAGCTCTGGATCACAGTTGCCTCAAATCCAGACAGATGTTGTACTTCCATCATGCAAAAAAAAGGCCCCTCCTGAAACTCCTGTGAAAGAAAGACTTTTTATTGTGTTTAATCCTCATCCTTTACCTTTAGACGTGTTAGAAGATATATTCTGGTAAGAAAGTCACAATTTTTATTATAACTTATTTATGCTAGTAATTTAAGCATTCTCATAATCTAGAACCTTTCTTCGTCCCCTACTTTCTTCTATCAGGTAGAGAGGATTTGTTCTGTGGTTTTAAAAACTACTTTAAAAAAAAAATATATATATATATGTATTTTTTTTATTGCATTTTAGGTTTTGGGGTACATGTGAAGAACATGCAAGAGTGTTACCTACATGGCAATATGGTTTGCTGCCTTCCTCCCCATCACCTATATCTGGCATGTCTCCCCATGTTATCCTTCCCCAACTCCCCACCCCTTGCTTGCCCTTCCCTAGTAAAAACTACTTATTTATATCTTCTTTTTCAATTTCTGATCATTTTCTTCTCTTACTTATCAATCACATATCCTAAGGCTCCATATAGAATTTCCTGCTATTTTGTTTTGAGGACATAAAATGGGCCAGGCCCAGTGACTCATGCCTGTGATCCCAACATTTTGGGAGGCCGAGGTAGGGGGAATCACTTGAGTTGAGGAGTTTAAGACAAGCCTGGACAAAATGGCAAAACCCCATCTCTACAAAAAATACAAGAATTAAACAAGCATGGTGGTACATGCCTGTGGTCCTAACTACTTCTCAGGATGTGGTGGCAGGATTGCTTTTACACGGGAGGTCGAGGTTGCAGTGAGCCTCCAGCCTGGGAGACCCTTTTTATTTGTGTGTGTGTGTGTGCATGTGTGTGTGTGTGTGTGTGTGTTTTTAACTAAGCATCTTCTGTTTTGTTGGTGCATTGTTGAATCCTTAAGGGTTATAAAGTCGCATTGTGTAAAGGATACTTGATTGTAGGGAAAAATATATAAATGCTTTTTATTAAAAAGAAAAGGAAGATCTGGCTGGCTCACATCTGTAATCCCAACACTTTGTGAGGCTGAGGCGGGCTGACACCTGAGGTTGGGAGTTTGAGACCAGCCTGACCAACATAGTGAAATCCCTTCTCTACTGAAAATACAAAATTAGCCAGATGGAGTGGTACATGCCTGTAATCCCAGTTTACTCGGGAGGCTGAGGCAGGAGAATGGCTTGAACCTGGGTGGCAGAGGTTGCAGTGAGCTGAGATCACACCATTGTGCTCCAGCCTGGGCAACAAGAGCGAAACTCTGTCTCAAAAAAAAAGGGGGGGAACTTCTTATTTTTGTGTTTTTAACATAACTTCTTTCTTCACTTTTTCTTTTAGGTCTTTTTCCCATTTGCCTTACAAGAATGTTAGTGAATTAGTTAGATAGGAAGCTTGTTAAAGAGCTGCACAAAATATCAGGAACATAATGTGGTCGTATATTAAGGCTCAAAAGGAAAAAAAAATCAGGGACATGATTCAAGTCTTTTTGACCGTTATTTAACTGATGTATTTAGTTTTTTTCTTGAACTTCCTCTTTGTGCAAGGCAGGAACTGTGTATGCTAAGTACAAGAGACATTATATAAGCAAAATATTAAATGGACAAGACTTTATAGTTCTTGTCCTCTTAGAGCTGATCTCATGTAGGAAACAGATAAGTAACTAGAAAATTATAACCCAGTGTGATTGGTGTGTGATAAGGAATGTGTGAAATTCATTGGAGGAGCAGTTACCTTAGAAACTCTGAGAAGCCTTGAAAGAATGAAGGTGTATGTGGAGACCTGAAGGATAAAAATAATTTTTCTACAGGTGAAAGCTGGTGGTATGCATGGTTATTTCTGCCATAGAGAATGTAAAAGAAGAGCTTTTAGATAGGGAATTGGAGAGTGTTAGGAAAGATGAAACTAAAGAGTCCAAGGACTATGTCAGAAAGGCTCTTGAGCTATATTAAGGAATTTGTTGTCACCCTGGAGGCAGTGGGGAGCTGCTGAGGGGATTTTTAGGGAGTAAATGATCATATTTAGGTTTTAGAAAGATCACTCAGAAGACAGAGTAGAAAATGGATTGAAGAGGGCCAAGCCCAGTGGGTAAGGAAACTAGTGAAAAAAGAATTAGATTAAGGAAAAGACGATGGTCTGAATGAGAAGAGAGACCTGAAAGAGAATGAATAGAATTGACTGAGATGTTTAAGATTGACAACAGTTGGATGTCGGATCTGGGGAGAAGGGTGAAAAAGGAGTCAAGCATGGACTCCAAATTTTAGACCTGAGCAGCTGTATTTATCAATTTCAGTAGCTTATTTTTTCACTTTGTTTTAGCCGCTTTGGTAACCTGATCGAAGTTTACCTTGTGTCAGGAAAAAATGTGGGGTATGCCAAGTATGCTGATAGAGTAAGTGCGAATGATGCCATTGCCACTCTACATGGTAAGATTCTGAACGGGGTGAGACTTAAAGTTATGCTGGCAGATTCGCCAAGAGAAGAATCTAACAAACGGCAAAGAACTTACTGATTCTTGAGGTAAGCCTTTTTTAATCTGAATTTTAAAACATATTGAGTAAATAGTATAGCAAGAATATGCATAAGTACTTTAATTATGAACTTTTCTTTTTAGTGATTTAGAAGTTGTCGGTTAAAAGAGCTTTGCAACTATTTAAACTTTAAAAATTGTTGACATTTACTAGAAGAATGCTTTTGCCCTTCTATCAAATAAAATTAGATTTCAATTTAGAAAGAAAAATCATTGTTTTTTGTTTGTGAAATCTTAGATTTTAAGAATTTGACTTTTTTACTATGTGCTTACATAAACTTTTATTGTCCAGTGCTGGAATATAGATTGCTTCAAAAAAATTAAAATACTTCTAAAGATCTTTCACTTGAAGAATTTGTCTTGAGTTATGAATTGAGGTGATTTATGACAGTCTTTTATAAAGATAATGTTTTGACTTTTTTCTAATGAAATGTCTAAAAGGCAATATATAATATATCATTTTTGGACCTTCTGAACCTAACCGTTGGTGTTTTCTGGACTTATATTTGTGAGTTTGTACATTAAAACAATACATTCAGAAAATATTCTTGTGCGCATATATGTGTTTTTTAAGAAAACCTGACCATTTACCAAAAACTCTTTATCTACTGTAATTTACAATATGTACAGCCATATGAATTTCATTTCCTATTTAATTTATTAGTTTTCAAAAATCAAACTATAATTTCTTTTCCTGTGACAATTAGTTTATATCTGTGTAGTTTGGGGAAACATTCTTTAAAGTTTGGCTTTTTTTATTCTGTAAAATAATTCTGAATTTCAGGGGAAGCTGTTTTCCTGTTCCCACAAACCAGCTTTCTAGGTGTATAATAGGTCAAATGTAGTAGATGGCAAGCACTTTGAATTTAGTTGAAGTTATTGGCTTGAAACTTTTATTCTTTTCACTTAAGATTTTCTTTCTGACCAATTATGTGAGCTAGCACATATGAAAATGAATCCTACCAGGCCTCACTTCTGATGACCTTTCCTTTACTAGGACAGGTCACGTGATTAGTCCCTCCTTCATAGAAAGCATTTGACAAGAGAAAGTGCCCATTGGACACATTACATATAATTTTAATTTTTTTTTTTTTTTTTTTTTTTTTGATACGGAGTTTCGCTGTTGTTACCCAGACTGGAGTGCAATGGCACGATCTTGGCTCACCACAACCTCCGCCTCCTGGGTTAAAGCAATTCTCCTGCCTCAGCCTCCTGAGTAGCTGGGACTATAGGCGTGTACCACCATGCCCAGCTAATTTTTGTGTTTTTAGTAGAGATGGGGTTTCATCTTGTTGACCAGGATGGTCTCAATCTCTTGACCTCGTGATCTACCCGCCTCGGCCTTCCAAAGTGCTGGGATTATAGGTGTGACCCACCACGCCCAGCCATAATTCTAATTTTTAAATGTTTTTAAATGTTTTATTAAGTGACAAAACCAGTCTCATTGTACCATACACTGTTAGCAGTTTAATCCTGGAAATATTAAATTGCCAGTGAAAAAGAATTAGCAAGCATTTTTTCATGTTTATGAATAAAACGTTAAGAATGAATTCTATTTGGACAAGCTATTCTCTAGCATGCAAAAAAAAAAAAAGGTGTTTATTCCATCTGTGAATATTTCAACAATAGGAAAGAAACAGTTCTTGTTTTTACTCAATAAATCTTTATCCTTAAAAAGGAAAATAATATAGACTTCTCAGTATAGAATAGTATATAAATTACTCTTATGGTTGAACTTTTTCTAATGAGTATTTACATGTTAAAGAGAATATTGGGCTTAAAATAAAAAGCCATCTAACTGTGACTGGGCTGGTGTCTATGGCCTTTTTTTATTAAAAACGCATAATCTCTCTCTGTCACCCAGGCTGGAGTGCAGTGGCCTGATCTGGGCTTACTGCTACTTCTACCTCCTGGGCTCAAGCAGTCCTCCCACCTCAGCATCCCAAGTAGCTGGCACTACAGGCATGTGCCACCATGCCCGGCTAATTATTACTATTTTTTGCTTTTGGTAGAGTCAGGTTTTGCCATGTTGCCCAGGCTGGTCTTGAACTCCTGAGCTCAAGCCATCTGCCTTTCTCAGCCTCCCAAAGTGCTGGGATTACATGCGTGAACCACTGCACCTGACCCTCTTTGCCTTTTTTGAGGCCCAGTTTTCTCATGGGGCTGTTGAGAGATGAGTCAACAAAATTCCTTATAAAACGAAAAAAGCTTTTCAGGTCTAAGCTAAAACTCTTACATTTGTAGCTTCAGTGAAACCTTTGAGATGTCCTTTTACCTAAAATAATGACATCCAAATGATCAGAAACTAAAAGTATAATGATATAAAACTACCTCATGGCCAGCTGGTACTATGAGAACTAAGCTTTATAATACCACATTTTCTCCTAAAACTCATCCAATTTCCTACATTAGAGGAACTGCATATTCAGCATGGCTGTTCATAAAAATGTTAATCTATCATGTTTCCCTTTTTTGAACTGTTACACATATTCAGGGCAGAGATAAAGTAGGGTCAGGTTAACTGAAAGGGTTATTTGGATAGGATACGATTAGCTACACGGTTTTGAATTTCTTCTAATTGCAGAATGGCTTTTTAAAAATTTTTGCTGCGGATCGTCTATTTACAATGGACTCCATTATGAGCTTCTTCTTTGTTGGTGTATTAAATAAATATATTATCTTATTTTAAGGTTCGATAAAATACTGTGGAAGACTTTCCCAAATTTTATATAGTTGTGACAAGTTTTTTTGGGTAGGTGCACCTTTTTATTTGTTTCATTAATTTTTAAGAGGCTACAGACACAGCTCATGAAGGCTAGTTTATTTCGTCTCTGAGGTATGGGCCTGGTATTGAGTGAGTCATGCCTAGGAAATAGAAGAACTGATCTTAGGATATAACTTTGAAAGTAGTTGAGTTCTATTTCAAGATAGGTCTGATAACCACAATGTAATTGTCTATTTGAGGAAAATAGAAATTTTAGTATTTCAGAGCATTGGATTTTTTATTAATTCACAACATTTTCCCTCTAGAAATTCAGTACCTGCATCATGCTTCTGAGTAAGTTTGGTTTTATTTGGGGGTGGCTCTGATTAAGCAGATAACATTGGGTATATTGAAATAAAGGAACAATTCCTAAAATTTTAGGAATACTACAACAGCTGTTTCCTTTCAGGTGATGATTTTCATACTTGTGTTGTGTTCTTTCTACAGAACAAAGACTAAATAATGACATAATCCTCAGCTGACTGACTGAAAATGTGACTGGACGCATTCCCTGTGGACAGTTGACAGCTTTTTTTTTTCATATACCCGATAGTCTGTGTACAGCATTGTTTTGTCTGGGAAGCAGGGATTGCTGACATGTATTTTTGAATCCATACATTAATGCTAAAATGAACATAGTAGTTGTTCCTTAGAGCAATATGTTGTTACGTATAGCAGAAATAAAGTTTTCTTTGCTTAACTAAATCATGACTTATTTATGTGAAAGACCAGAATAGAAAAATTTAAAAGGCAGTCTTTAGAACTTGACTAAATGACATATTTTATTTATTTTGAGATGCACATCTTTCACATTTTAACACCTCTGGAAGTGGAAGCATCTCGCTATGAATTGTATGGCATAGTGTAATTGATAACCTTTTTTTCTTCCTTAGTAAAACAAGAAAAGGTGCTTTTTTCAATCAATTGCTTCTTAGAGTCAACAAAATATGGTAACTGCTACTCAATCTATACATCCAGGTTAACTGTTTACACTTAATCTAAGAACAAAAGACAAATCATTAGAAATATTTTATACTGTATTTTTTTTTAGTTATAATAAAATGTGTTGGTAATTTTGTAAAGCTGTTTTAAGATTATTAAGCAACAGTATTAAAAAAATTAAAACTTGTTGATAATAAATTTAAATAAATCTCAGTGGCTTTGGGAGATGGACATTTTTATCTTTATAGAAATAATGGCCACTCCAAAAATATGACATGTAAGGAATTTTCAAAACAGACTGCAATAGGAGGTATAGTCATTTTGAAATTAAAGATTAAAAATTAGGGCCAGGGGTGGTGGCTCACCACACCTATAATCCTGTCACTTTAGGAGGCTGAGGCAGGAGGATTGCTTGAACCCTAGAGTTCAAGAAGAGATCAGCCTAGGCAGCACAGGGGACCTGCTCTCTAAAAAAATACAAAATTAGCCAGGCGTGGTGGCATGTGACTGTAGTCTCAGCTACTGAGAAGGCTGAGGTGGCAGGATTGCTTGAGCCTCGAAGACAGGCTTCAGTGAGCCACAATTGTACTGCTCCAGCCTGGACGACAAAGTGAGACCCTGTCCTAAAAATAAAAACTAAAGATTAAAAATTAGGAATCTATTCTGCTTGTATTTTAAAACTTTAACCAAAAAATGTTATTAGCTCTGTGGTTGAATTACATGTATCAAAAAGATGTATCTAAATCAAGCACTTGGCACTTTTTATAAAAAGGTATTATAAATGTTAAACATTTGTTCAAACACAATTATCTTCTCATTATACCTCTCACCTCATGACTCAAACTAATAATGATAAAAGATTAAATTCAGCAATCTTGACCTGGCACAGTGGCTCACACCTGTAATCCCAGCACTTTGGGAGGCTGAGGCAGGTGGATCGTGATGTCAGAAGATTGAGACCATCCTGGCCACCATGGTGAAACCCCATCTCTACTAAAAATACAGAAATTAGCTGGGTGTGGGGGTTTGTGCCTACAATACCAGCTACTTAGGAGGCTGAGACAGGAAATCACTTGAACCCGGGAGGTGGAGGCTGCAGTAAGCCCGGATTGCACCACCGCACTCCAACCTGGGCGACAGTGAGATTCTTATCTCAAATAAATAAATAAATAAAATAAAAATAAATTCAGCAGTCTTTAATAGAGTATCTTATACTTGGACATCTCCATTGGAAAACTAAAATCCTTTCTTTTAAAGTCAGTGATTGGCTGGGTGCAGGGGCTCACATGTGTAATCCCAGCAGTTTGGGAAGCCGAGGCTGGCGGATCACGAGGTCAGGAGTTCAAGACCAACCTGGCCAACACAGTGAAACCCTTCTCTACTAAAATTACAAAAATTAGCAGGGCATGGTGGCACATCCCTGTAATCCCAGCTACTTGGGAGGCAGGAGAATTGAAGTCAGGAAGCGGAGGTTGCAGTGAGCTATCGCGCCATTGCAATTCAGCCTGGGTGACAGTCTTGTCTCAAAAAAAAGTCAGTGATTTTAGCAAATTTAGATAAGAAACTGTCATCTTCACAGGCAAAACTGCTGACAAGAATTGGACCAGCTATCTTTCTGTAAGCCAGAGGATGTATTTTAAAAACAAAGCAAAGCTGGGTACAGTGGCAAGTGCCTGTAGTCCTAGCTACTCAGGAGACTGAGGCAATAGGAGTGCCTGAGCCCAGGAGTTCAAGGCTGCAATGTGCTGTTATTGTACCTGTGAATAGTACAATAGTACTATAGTACACAGTCTTCCATTTCTTTGTTTTTTATTTTTTTTTAAAAGCAATGAAAATCCTAAGTGAGGGGAGTTGTAGATTAATTGCCAAAAAATAGGTATAATTATACCCAAACTCATTTACTGTACATATGGTTCAGTTTTCACATATTGGGATTAAATTGTTCCTTACAAGTCATTGGGCTGTGTCATGTAAGTAATGCTTGAATTACCTCAAAAATGTTTCTGCCAGGTGGTTAATCTAAACAGTGTAAAAGTAACAGTTATAGGAAGGAGCTCTCTACCTCCTACCTGAGTCTACTGCATCTCTGGTTAATCTTCACAATTGAGACAAAAATCTGATTTCCTACCATTTTCCCCTATTAAAGTATTTCACTGGGTTTTCTAGGAGAAATTGAATCTGTCACATGTTAGCTATCATATTCCTGGCCAGCCCTCCACGTTCTCTGTTCAGATTAAACGATCCTGGTTTCTCCCTTCTACAAGTCAGGCAGCCAGTCCCAGCAACTGTGGTAAGAGTAAGGGACCTTATCTAGGTGTATTTCTTTGAATCCTAATCTAAATTCTAAAAAGATCGTATGATACCTCTCTACCTGCAAAACACTTTGCGTTTTCAGTACAACCTGTTTTGTTTTCCTTCCCAGGTGCATGTCTCAGTAAACAATGCTTAGTTCATCTTCCGTGTGCATTTCGTCTTAATCCTCTCAGTTATTTAGCTTTGGTCCTGTCTTCCTGTCTTTTGCAATTGATCCCTAAAGCTGTATTTTAGAAGCTAGAATTTCAGATTTTTCTTAGAATGAGGAAATTCTAGAACCTAAAAATAGCATTTAGTAATCTAGTTGTTTATGTCTTCACCTTAATGTTCACTTCTCAGAACACTTTGAGTGTGAGAACATAATATATAAATATTTAGATGCTCAGCGAATGTTAGTTATTAAAACTGCTAACAGTGTTTTATTAGTATATATTTATTTTTAAAAAATTTAAATAATAAGCAGTACAGCTCAATAAACCTCTCAAGTATGTAGTTAAAATAAGAAATAACATTTAAAATAAGCCTGATCAAAGCCTTCTCGTAAATTCATCAACTGAGGTCTTGTATGGCAGGTTACAGGTACTGAAAACAACTGTCAAATTTGCTGCTTCTAAATCAACATGTTCCAAACTATGTTCCTTGGAATACTAGAAAGAATTTTTCATGGTTAAATACATTTAGAAAATGTTTGGTATTTTTGGTCCCACATATTTAATCTACTATAGACAAAAAGGTAGGGAAATTATTTGTCTACAATTTTAGCTTTCTCTCAATTTTATTCTCTCTCAATTGCGATCCTATTCAGTATGAATGAAGCCATAGAGAACAGAAATAAGGGACTTAACCACTAGGTGGTGGTAAACATCGGTGATAAAGTACAGCATTTCAATGTTAATTTAAGGTCCTGAGATGGAAATGAAATGATGGTGTTTGAAATGCCTAAAACTGTGCTTTTCTTGAGGAATATTACTCTTATTGCACAAGCTGGAGTGCAATGGTGCGGTCTCTGCTCACCGCAAACCCCTCCTCCCAGATTCGAGCAATTCTCCTGCCTCAGCCTCCTGAGTAGCTAGGATTACAGGCATGCGTCACCACACCAGATAATTTTATCTTTTTAGTAGAGACGGGGTTTCTCCATGTTGGTCAGGCTGGTCTGGATCTTCTGACCTCTGGTGATCTGCCTGCCTCGGCCTCCCAAATTTCTGGGATTACAGGCATGAGGCACTGCGCCCAGCCAAAACTGTGGTTCTTTTTTTTTTTTTTTTGAGACAGAGTTTCGCTCTTGTTACCCAGGCTGGAGTGCAATGGCGCTATCTCGGCTCACCACAACCTCCACCCCCTGGGTTCTGGCAATTCTCCTGCCTCAGCCTCCCGAGTAGCTGGGGTTACAGGCACACGCCACCCTGACCAGCTAATTTTTTTTATATTTTTAGTAGAGACGGGGTTTCACCATGTTGACCAGGATGGTCTCCATCTCTTGACCTCATGATTCACCCGCCTCGGCCTCCCAAAGTGCTGGGATTACAGGCTTGAGCCATTGCGCCCGGCCAACTGTTAAACTTTGGTGTCCGCAGGAATCACCCTGAGTGTTTGTTTAAAATATAGGTATACTGGTTCTGTAGGTTTGGGGTGAGTTTTTGAACAAGCTGTGGTTATGATGGGATAGTCAGTGGCATTCACTTTGGAATATACTGGCCTAAAGAGGTTTCATATGTTGGACCTTAGGTTGGACTGTTGTAAAAGTAAGGCATCGAGAAGTTGTTTCTTAGTCTTTTTACCTTGGGCATTTTTTAGAATTATGCATCTGGTTTTTCCTGAGTTTAATATCAGTAAATATGAATTGCATTAAGAAATTGAAAAACACAGCCTCATAAATAACAAGTAATAGGCCAGCATTTTTATTGATGTTCATAAGGGATGAAAATTGTTTATGCCATTCAAAGCTTTTACCTAACATTTTTTATTTACATTTATTTTTAAGTGAGTTGTGTAAAGAAATTACCAAAGATTGGGGCTCTGAAGAAGTACATAGGTACATGTTATTTGTTTTAAATGTCAAAGGAGTATGAAGGACATGTAATTATCATTTTCTAAAAAACTGAAATAGAATAATCAAAAGGGTACAGAAATACCTCTATATTTATGTGTGTTCTTACAGTCCTAAGGTGAATCTTCTTGTAAAATGATCGCTTTTTTGATTTATAGTTACTTTTTAACTTTCAGTGACTTTAATAAATACTAAAACTAAAAATCAGTGAGAGCAAAAACAAGTGAAATCTATTGCCTTTTCACCTAGAGGTATAGCCACACACAGGCTTTGTTCCATATGTGGATGGTAAGTGCTATTAAAAATCAGGGCAATTACTTTTACATATGATTTCAGTAAAGAGAATACCAAAAAGGTCATCCTTATTAGATAAGAAGTTCCATTTTAATACCTGAATTCTAAT